ATCAAGCAGAATTACATGCAATTAACCCTCAACCAAATCCTGATCCTTTCAAAAAAAAAAAAAAACAGTAAGTACATGTGGTTAATTAATATTACTCAGTACTTAAATCTTTAATTTCACTTTAACACGGACAAATGCAAATAAAGTGTAACGAAAATAAAAATGATTAAACTGGAATAAAACTCACCCATTTGCGGATGTCTTTCTCCAATCCAGGCCAGTATAATCTGCTGCTGAGAGCTTCAAGTGTTTTCTCCATGCCACAATGACCCCCCTGATCACTGGCATGAAGGTTAACAAAAACAGAATTTGCCTCCTCTGGTGACGTCACCACTTTTGCCAAATGTTTGCCTCGCTTGCGCCTGTGGCATATATAGTGAAGCAGGCCATCTAATGTGGATAACACAAAGGCTCAGGTAACTTCCTGTGCTTGTGTCACTAGAATACCAATTTCCTTTCTCTATTATTGCTTACCTTTCATTAGATAGCTTTCAGCTCTTCTTTTAATAATGAACTTCTCCTTTTTGGAACATCCAGGAGGATATGGTCCATGAAGAAGAACATTTTTTAGCTCCCTCACCTTTACAGGGTCCATCTAAAGCACTGGTTCAATCGTGGTCCTGAGGAGCCACAGCTCTGCATAGTTTCTGTGTCTCCCTCATCTAACACACCCGATTCACATCATCATCTCGTTAGTAAAGATAAGTTACTGAATTGGGTGTTTCAGATAAAGGAGACATATAAAATATGCACAGCTGTGGGTCCCCAGGGCCACAATTGAGAACCACTGATCTTTATTACCCCTTTATTAAGCAATGGCCATATTTTCCATTTATATGTTATAGTACACTGTAAATCTACATGCCTGTCCTTCAATCAACTCACTATCAGCACTGCATATGTCCTCTCATTAAATCACAACTCTTCACATTTATCAAGTATATGTTGATAATATGGAGCATCTGCAGGTGGTAATTAGCTATTATGTGCATAGTCAAACTGCCAACTTAATGATTGTAACAAGAATGCATCTCCTTAATGATTAGTATCTTGGCAAGTATTAGACAGCTGATTTGAAGACAAGAAACTAGTAAAGGTTTGCAAGGCCTATTTGAACAAACTAACACTTTTTGTAGGATTGTAACATGTCATTAAAGTGTAGTAAGGCAGTCAGATTTAATGACAGCCTGACAGAGGATTTAATGAAATGTTGAAACTCAGGGATGTGGTTGACATTAAGTGTGTAACATAGGCTTTATTTAGTTTGCATTGAATATAGATGGCACTACAAAGAACCGACATTTATGGAACATACAGGGGTTGGACAATGAAACTGAAACACCTGGTTTTACAACACAATAAATTGTTAGAATGGTGAGGGCCTCATTTTGCATCCAAATACAGCACCAATTGACAGATAGAAGTCCTTCACAGTGACCAGAGGGATTATGAGCCGTTCCTTTTCCAGAACAGTGTCCAGGACACTATATGATGCTGGTGGACTCGCTCCTCCAAAACACCTCAATAATATTTAGATCTGGTGACTGTGCATGTTCAACGTCACTTTCATCTTCATCAAACCCTTCTGTCACAAGTCTTGCTGTGTGTGTTGGTGCATGATCATGCTGATACACGGTTTGAGCATCAGGTGCTCATGATCCTCCAGAAGGGTTTGGTAGTCCTCGGCAGTGTCGTGTCCATCAAATACAATCAGGATTGTCATGATATTGGAGCTCAAACCATCACTGATCCACCCGTGCTTCACTCTGAAGATTGGCCGCCAGGCATATAGATGTGAAACCTCCAACATTGGCCAGTGTTTCAGTTTCATTGTCCAACCCCTGTATAACACTGCAGACAGTTCAGCGCGCAGCTCTTAAAGGGGCCACACCTTATTTACACTCGTTACAGTCTGAAATAAATCATTGCTGTTTTTGTCATTGTGAAAGAGTCTATTGTGCACTTATTCTTTGAATGTCTATATTCTTCAATCTTTTGGAATGAGATGTCTCAATTTCTAGGTTTTAAAATGAATTACAACCGTGTCTTAAATTTGTCATCTTCATACAAATGATTTTGACTTTCCTATAATAAAAATTTATGTTATCGATTTGTTTCTATTATTAGGAAAATTTCATATTCATCAAACTAAATGGAGTAACTCAAAACCCAACTTTGCTCATTTCAAAACAGCCTTTAAAATGTATTTTGAGTCTGTAAAATTAAAAAAAAAAAAAAATCAAAAAGCCCAAAAGATCAGTATCTCTGCTAAAGGAATTTAATATATGTCTGTGATGCCCTCTATCTTTATATTTTTTCTTTCTTTTTTTCGTGTTTTTTTTTTTTTCCAAATTATTGTTGTCTCATGTTTTACTTATCAGATGTTGTACTTATCAGAAAATGTGTAAAAGAAATGTCAAGAACTTGATATCAAATTCTGTGATTTTGAAAATTCAATAAAAATATAACAAGATGAGAAATTAAATATTCCCAGCACTTTCTAAGATGTAGTATGCTTCCTTATCAAAGAAAGTAATAAGAAATGACTCTTTACATTAAGGTAGTAGCCTAGTGAGAACAGGGTGTTGGGGGAATCACTTTTTTTCTCTTTTCATCAAACCGCAGTTTTTGCAAGTTCCCGCAATTTTTGCAAGTTCCCGCAATTTCATTGCATAAAATTGCATAAATATCCCGCATATTCCATCGCATTTTTAAAGAAAACAGGCCGCGTAATCAAGGATTTTTGCCCGCAACAATCACAAAAAAACTCTGCTTGATCGATATTATGTATTACGCTTGATCAAGCAGGTTGAAAAACACTGCTTGATCGATATTATGTAAGAGGCAAAGTTGTGTAAGTCGTGTTTCTGTATAAAAAGTAACAGATGACCGGTTTACCTGAACTGAAGTGCGATCTTTCACGTCACATTTAGGCTGTAATCGCCAAAACGGTATTTTTTGTCTGAATTGCGTAATAAAATGGACATAACCTGAGAGCTGATATTTGTTTCATCAACAGTAACCTACTCTGTAGTCTGTCGGTCTCAGTGCCCTCTTTGCTCCACGATTTTTCTTTGCGTGAGAAAATGGATGTGTGGCACGAGAGGATGAAGGTAGAGCAAAACTCGAGAGCACGCAGATGTGAATTTGAGAACTTGAACAATAAATATTTGTACTTGTTCACTAAAATTTACACTCACAGCTCCAATGCGAAAACTTGTAAAATACAAATCTGAAGTTGAATGATGGAATTTGCACTTGAGGCAGGGGCAGATCTAGAAAACAAATCACGGGGTGGCAAGCTGGGTCAGGGATCATTTCTGGGGTGGTGAATGTTTATAACGGGGGTACATAAGTTTTGCTTGATCGCATGTGTCAACAAGCCTACATCATGTCCTCATACAGTGAAAAGCTGAAAACACCACGAGCGTCACATGTGCTACGCTTCAGTGTGTGTGTAGTAGAGCCGCATTGAGTGCTCATTTCCAGAGACGCGCAGAACAATTGCAGTCTCTTTGAGCTTTAACATTCACAGACACTAGTCCACTAGTTTATTCATTCAAAACATGGCGTATACCTGCCTATCAGACTACACCACAGGGTAGTTGTATGTTTATGTAACCCAGGTGGTTTATTAATATTCCTTACAAGCAGGGCCTGAAATTAACACCCGACCACCTGCCAAATGCGGGTGAATTTTGCTATTGGCGGGTAACACTGTCAATCTACCTGCCACATTGGCAGGTAGCCAATGAGAATTGTGAGTGATTCATTATGATTTTTACATTTCAACAAAGTCCGCTATTGCGTTGGACTTTAGCTAAAATGTGGCGGCACATTACTGGGGTAAAGAGGCCAGCTGAAACAAACAGCCAATAAAAAGATGAGGATGAGGAAAAGAAAAGTAAAGAAGACATTTTAATACAAAGTGAACAATCGGCGGCAATGGCAAGGTTCGTGAGCGGCTGATTTATGACAGCGACTGTTGTTTCGCAACGTTCATGCGATCAGAAAGAAGATGAGACCCTTTTTCTGACTACGTTTGGATGTGTGAGTATTAAACTGTTGGTGAGATGGGATGAGATAATGTAACGCTGACGTATGTTACAGTACAATGACAGTTGCACAGATGTGTGTGCGTGTGCAACTGTGCATATTAGGAGTTGGGAACCGGTGAGAAAATGTCCGGTACCCGGTAATTTTACCAGTAATAACAGTATTAATTTAGTTAATATTTAACGGTTCCTGAACGCTATAACTAAAAGCTGTTAAGAGTAAGACCTGTCTACGTGAATAAATCCGCCATCAACACAGCCGCGTGTGATTTGTTTACGAGCTGCGGTAGGTCTATCTGTTGAGTATATACTATATTATAGCTAGCCTGTTGTGTTTGTGTCTGTCAAAATCAATGAATAAAAAGATTTTTTTTAAAATGTATGTTGTTAGAGTTATTATTACTTGACAGCACTTTAAAGAAGTTAAAGAAGTTAAGCAAGTTAAAGAACAATATAGTGAAATTCCCGGGGTTTTTTTCACGTTTATGAGGCAAAAAAATAAAAATAAATGGCTGGTAAAAAGTCTCTGTGGCAGGTGAATTTTTAAATCCACCTGCCACAGTGGCCGGTGGCCGAAAAAGTTAACTTCAGGCCCTGCTTACAAGGTTATTAATATCTTATTTCTGAGATTATTACAGCAATAGTTCTGAGTAAGTAGGGAATTATTGATTAAACAATAGTATCAGTCATTAAGAGAAGTTCATTTGTAGGATTTATAAGTGATATAAAGGGTTTCACTTGAATAAGGTCATAACGGGGATGTGTTGCTTTAAGAATAATGAGGGAGATTAAAGTTTGTCTGTAATGCACTAGGGGAAAATGTGCTTTTGCCTAGCAAAAAAAAAAGCATTCTTGTACTATTTTATTTTCATTGGATGTTGTGTGTTTTATCCCGCCCTCTTTATTCAGAGGGTGTTTTTGGATTGGATGAGATTCTGAGAGAAAGGAGAGAGAAGCGGGTGTTGTAAAAAGGCTGAGGAGAAAAAATGTAATCTAAGTGCTGTATAAGTATTTAATTTGTGCATTTATTCAGTTCGGACTTTCTACAACACAGAAATATTTGTGAAAGAGTTACTCCAAACAGGAGTTCGTCTAGCTCTTTGTTTTCATAGTGTGGAAAAATACACTGACGGAAACGCGGTAGAATCACGGACATTTATATGCGGACTGCGCGTTGATTATCGTATCCGTGTGAAGAGGACCACTGTTCGCTGGACTTTGATCAGAGCGGGTCTAGATCGGATGAGCTCTGGGGTTCGTTTGCTGCTGTCGGGGAAGAAGATGGTGAGCCGATGGGTCCAGTAACGCCAGTGTGTGCAGGTGCTCGTGGTGGATGAAGAGTTGCTGAGAGTCGTTTGCTGACGGAGGAATTCAGGTGATCTGGTTTTGTTTTGTTTGCTCAACAGAGTGAAGAGGCCATTTGTTGTTTCTAGGCCACTGCGAACTCTAGCAACGATACAGGCCTGCAACGGGGGTTGGGTGGTGACTTTTACAATTGTGTGTGTGAGTGTGAGCGCGCATAAACGAGTGATCACTGAAAGGGTACGGTACAGTGTTTACATTTAACAAAAGATAACAAAAGTGTTCAAAAGTGTTATTTGAGATTTATGTGATGTAATTGAAAAGGTTATTCCTAACTTTGTTTTCATTCTAGTGAAATAATTTAAAGTGAGTTAGTTTATCTTAAAGTCACAGATTGAAAGTGAATTGAGTTTATTTTTGTGAAAGAGAAAATAAGAGACAAGGGTTGATTTACATTTGAAGTTTATTGGTTTATTAAGACTCAATACAAGGGTTTTTTTGTTTGTTTATATTTATTTTATTGTGTGTGAATAAATGTTATTATTTGTTTATACTTACCAAATGGTGTTGCTTGCAGTTAATTAGTAGACAGTTAATTGAGATATTAGATCTCAAGGAAGGGAAAGAATAACAATATTGCATAGTTGCAAGTCGAGAGACACATTTAAAGAATCCGGAGCGTCGCTTGGGTTACACTCAGAGCATAGGGGGCGCTACACAAATGTCATTTCAGGTGTATTTAGTGAGTGTTATTTCAGTCTAACTGTTTATGCAGTTCTAAGATTTTGGGGTGAACAATTTGCTGTGTGATCCAAAGATTATACTGGCACTGTATTTTGTTTTATTGTGAGTCTTCTGCCCTATGAACAGTAAAAGAAACAGAAACTCCTAACTAATTATAAGGAATAAATACAAACCCCACTTATATTTGTTGGTCCTTTGTCATTTTCATGCGGCCACATATCCTGAAGATTATCTACCTATAGGCCTATTGCAAATCTAAAGCTACAGCTATATCTGTGCAAATATTCATGTTTTTATGCTGTTTCTATATTATTTTGGAGATTTAATGTAAAGTATTACGATATCAAAATATATTTACGGGGGGGGGGGGCGCTATGGAGCAACATAGGAGGTAGACGTGTTTCTCATCTCCTCTACAGTCAGGTCGATAAAATTGTAATTTAAATGTCTCTAATCTACTTTTAAATGGGCTAAAAGTCTATCTTGACAACCATAGCACTACAATTGAACCTTAAGCTCTATCGATGCCGTCAAAAAAGCAGCCCCAGGGCATTAAACCCTCTCCGCCGCAGCACGATGCTTCTGACAACATGGCGACGGCTGACCAAACGGCAGGCCTCGCGCAGGAAGAAAAAGACATGTCACGGATGATGGAGAAGATCTCGGAAAAGATCATCAGTGCCTTTGATGAGAGATTCGATAAACTTGAAGCAACTCTTCAAACCATACAAACGGCGCAACGAGAGTTGAGCGAGAGAGTCGATGTGGTGGAGGAGCAGGCCAGTGATCATGAAACTCGTATCCACTCTCTGGAAACGTCCCTGGATACCTTAAGTAAAGAGAATAAGATGCTTAAGTTCAAGCTTAACGATCTCGAGGGCCGATCGCGCCGTAATAACATCAGAATTATCGGTATCCCTGAAGGAGCTGAAAAAGGAAGGCCAACTGAGTTCGTGGCGGAGCTGATTAAGCAGCTTTTCGAAGACTTTTCCGACCCCCCAATCATTGATCGCGCACACCGAGTACCGCAGCCAAAGCCCCCGGAAGGAGCCAAGTCGCGTGCAATAATCGCACGAATGCATTACTTTCAAGACAAAGAGCGCATTCTACGCCTTCGTCAGGGACGTCAGCTTGATTACCAGGGGCGTAAAGTGCTGTTTTTTCCGGACTACACTGCTGAGGTAATGGAACAACGCCGGAGTTTCAGCGAGGCGATGCAAAGTTTAAGAGAGCTTAATGTGCGTCATACTCTGCGCTTCCCTGCCAAGCTTTGCATCACATATAATGGTAATACTGGAATGTTTACATCTCCCAAGGACGCAAAGCTATATATAGACAAAGAACTGAGGAAAGTCGCTGGTACGGATCAAGAATAAGTTTTGAGGTGTAGTACTATGGAGTTTGTATAGAGACATAAGTGCATATTATTTTTTTTCTTTAGATAAGACTTGATTGTTGTCGTTTTTTTTGTTTGTTTTGTTTTTTTGGCAGGGGGAATATTATTGTGATTTTACTCTGTGTTACAAAGTTAAATGAAAGGGAACGATAAAACCAATAGAGGAAATCCTACGTTAACTATAGCATCTTGGAATGTTAAAGGGCTTGGCCACCCCATTAAAAGAGGCAAAGTGTTTACCTATCTTAAATCTTTGAAAGTAGATATCTTATTTCTACAGGAAACACACATAGCTGTGGGACAAGAACATAAACTTAGGGCAAATTGGATATCTCAGATTTATCAGGCTCCTTTCAGTAGTAAAGCCAGGGGGGTAGCCATTTTAATTCGCAAGGGTATTTCATTTAAGCTCGATTCGATGACTACTGACCCTCATGGTAGATATGTCATGATTTCAGGCCAACTCTGTTCTTTGTACATCACAATGTTAAATATATATGGTCCCAATATTGATGACCCTCAATTTTTTAAAAAGGTTTTTGATTTAATACCGACTGGGTGTGTAAACGTCATTATCGGCGGTGACTTCAATTGTTATTTAGATCCGCTTTTAGACCGATCATCCTCAAAGCCACCTCCTAGTATAGCCTCAGTACAGATCCTCAATAGATTGATTGAGGAAAGGAACATGGTAGATATTTGGAGGCTGCAACACCCAACAGAAAGGGAGTACTCATTCTACTCGCAGGTTCATAAATCTTACACTAGAATTGATCGTTTTTTGGTTACTTCTGAACTGATTCACAGAATCACTGATACACGGTACCATAGCATGCTGATATCAGACCATAGCCCCGTCTCATTTCAGATAAATAAAATCCTGCCACAACAAAGTTATCATTGGCGATTCAACCCTTACCTACTTAAAGATCCAGCTTTTGAAAGCTACATTAACGCTAAACTGGATGATTTTTTTATAAATAATGACAATGGCCAAGTCTCTGATTCAATTTTATGGGAGACTCTTAAGGCAGTCATAAGGGGTCATATTATTGCTTTTGAAACCGCTAACAAGAGAAATAGCGAAAGTAGGCTTTTGGGAATTGAAAAGTTACTCACAACATTAGAACAGACATATAGAATTTCCGGATTACAGCAAGATTATAATAAGATACTGAATTTGAAATATGAATATAATTCGATCCTGGGCAAAAGAATTGAGAATCTCTTACTTAAACTGAAACAAAAACACTTTGAATTAGGTGATAAGCCAGAAACTTTATTAGCGAGGCAGTTAAGAGGTGTGCAAGCAAAGCAAACAATTCATCAAATTAAGTCAAACACAGCTGAGACTGTAACCAATCCAGAAGAAATTAATAAATCCTTTAGGGATTTTTACTCTGATCTTTATTCCTCAAAATGCAACGTCAGTCATGAGGATTATGAATCTTTTTTTGATAGTCTCAATCTTCCCCAGTTAGATAAAATTGCAAAAGAAGATCTGGAACGCGCATTTTCGGAAGCGGACATCTTAGAGGCCATCAAGTCTTTCCCGTCGGGCAAAGCACCAGGTCCAGACGGCTTTGGATGTGAATTTTATAAAGCCTTCTCTTTAAAACTAGCCCCATACTTATTGAGAATGATCAATGACTCATATGAAAATGGCAGACTCCCCAATTCATTATATGAGGCCAATATTTGTGTTCTATTAAAAAAAGGAAAAGATGACACGGATTTGGCCAGTTATAGACCTATATCGCTTCTTAATTTTGATCAGAAGGTCATAACAAAAGTATTATCAAACAGACTTGGAAAGCACATCTCAACAATAGTACACCCAGACCAAAGTGGGTTCATACCAGGTCGTTTCTCCTTTGGCAATGTTCGTCTCCTTCTTAATATTCTTTATAAGGAGCGTGGTAAGGAAGCCTCAGGAGCAATCATCTCACTAGATGCCCAAAAGGCGTTTGATCAAATAGAGTGGCCATTCATGCTAAAAGCGCTTGAGCACTTTGGGGCTGGGAGTCGGTTTATCAAGTGGGTAAAAATTTTATATTTATGTCCTCGTTCATCCATTTTGACAAACTCTAATAAATCTAAACCTTTTGAGTTGCATCGAGGAGTTAGGCAAGGAGATCCTCTTTCCCCTCTTCTTTTTGATATTGCGCTGGAGCCGCTAGCAGTAGGGATTAGAAGTCACCCGCATATACATGGAATAAAGATGGGAAAGGATGAAGCCCTGGTTAGTCTATATGCTGATGATCTATTAATCTATCTTTCTGATCCAGCCAAATCAGTTCCGTATTTGCTTGAATATATTAATGCTTTCGGTAAAATCTCCGGGTACACTATTAACTGGTCCAAAAGTGAGTATATGTCACTTGCTAGACACACAAATCCCAGCCAGGTTGGCCCCTCACTTTTCAAAACAGTTGAAGATCACTTTACATATCTTGGCATTGTGATACCAAAGAACCCCAAGCAAATATTTAAATTAAACTTTTTGGCTAAGATTGACAAATTAAAAGATAATATAGAGCGATGGCGCCTCCTTCCGCTATCTATGATTGGCAAAATTAATGCAATCAAAATGGTCATTTTACCACAGTTCCTTTACCTTTTTCAAAATGTCCCTACTTATATACCTTTATCTTTTTTTAAGCTTTTAGATTCAGTCATCATGCCTTTTATTTGGGCTTACAAGACTCCACGAATAGCAAAAGCTCACTTACAGAAACCCACTCAGATGGGGGGCTTAGGGCTCCCAGTGTTTAAATATTACTATTGGGCAGCAAACGCTAGGGCATTATCTTATTGGCAGAGGGGTATTCCTGGTGAAACTTTCTCTGCGGCTGATCCCTTATGGCTTAAGATAGAGACATCTTCTCTTACAACATCTTGTCTCCCAGTCTTACTTTTCTCAAAAGTCTCTCCCTCATCAAAATTAATTGGTACTAATTTAATAGTTAAAAATTCAATACGAATATTAAATCAAATAAGGAAACATCTTAAATCACCTGACGTCTCTATCCTCACACCCATCGCTAACAATCATATGTTCAAACCCTCTCAGCTAGACCGAGGTTTTATTGAATGGAAAACTAAGGGTCTAATGTCTATTGGGGATCTTTATAGAGATGACAAATTTGCATCTTTTAACCAACTGCAATCTGTATTTAATCTCCCGAGGTCCGATTTTTTTCGATATCTACAAGTGAGACATTATGTTCAAACGGTTATTCCACAATTTATGGACAAACCCGAGATTATTTCGTTTGAGAAAACTCTTTTGGTAAATCCAAGCTCTAGACATCTGGTCTCACGCTGTGTTAATTCTTTACAACTGCCTGTAAGCACCAATCATATAAAAGAAGCTTGGGCTAGGGATTTTGATGAAGATGTATCCGATGAAACCTGGAATGATAGTCTCAATAAGATCCAAGACTGCTCGATAAATGCGAGACACAGGCTGATCCAGTTTAAAGTGGTACATAGATTGTATTAATTTCAAACTGTTTGGCAGCCCTTTGTGGATTTCCTCAAGTCTAAATAGTGTATAATTATTATTGTTCTTGCTGTAATAATTCATCTAGGATTAGGTCTTGTTTGTGTTAACCTACCCCTGCCTGTTTTTTTTTTTTTTTTTTTTTTTCTCTCCTGTTATGGTTGTATTGTCTGATTTTCCTTTTTTTTATTATTCTTAAGTGTTTATACTATGTAAAAAATTGGAAAAAAAAAAAAAAAAAAAAAATATATATATATATTTACAACTTTACCGTTTATCGCGATTACCAAAAAAATGACCAATAATAATAAGTATATTTTTAAATCGATTGATTGACAGCACTTATACTCTGATCTTTTTTTGTATTTTTGGAAAGTGTCTGATAACATACAGTGGGGGAAATAAGTATTTGACCCCTTGCTGATTTTGCAGGTTTGCCCACTTACAAAGAATGCAACAATCTATAATTTTAATCATATGTACATTCTAACAGTGAAAGACAGAATCCCAAAGAAAATTCCAGAAAATCACACCATATGAATTTATTAAAATTGATAACCATCTGGTGAGGAAAAACAAGTATTTGACCCCCTGGACAAACAGCATGTTAATATTTTGTAGAAAAGCCATTATTGGCCAGCACAGATGTCAAACGCTTTTTATAGTTGGTGACAAGGTTTGTGCACATTTCGGCAGGGATGTTGGCCCACTCCTCCCTGCAGACAGCCTCCAAATCTTTCAGGTTCCGAGGTTGTCGCCTGGCAACTCGAATTTTAAGCTCCCTCCAAAGATTTTCAATTGGATTCAGGTCTGGAGACTGGCTAGGCCACTCCAGAACCTTGATGTGCTTCTTCTTCAGCCACTCTTTTGTTGCTTTGGCGGTGTGCTTAGGGTCGTTGTCGTGCTGAAACACCCATCCTCGACCCATCTTCAGCTCTCTCACTGAGGGAAGGAGATGTTGGTCCAGAATTCCACGATACATGGCCCCGTCCATCCTCCCCTCAATACGATGGAGTTGTCCCGTCCCCTTGGCTGAAAAGCACCCCCAAAGCATGATGTTGCCACCACCATGCTTGACGGTGGGGATGGTGTTCTTTGGGTTGTACTCGGTGTTCTTTGCCCTCGAAACACGACGAGTTGAGTTGAGGCCAAAAAGTTCTATTTTGGTCTCATCTGACCACATCACCTTCTTCCAGGCCTCTTCTGAGTCGTCCAGGTGGTGAATGGCGAACTTCATGCGGGCCTGTACATGTTTCTTCTTGAGCAGGGGGACCTTGCATGCGCTGCAGGATTTCAATCCATGACGGCGTAGTGTGTTACCAACCGTTTCTTTTGTAACTGTGGTCCCAGCTGCCTTCAGTTGATTCATCAGTTCCCCCCTTGTGGTTTTGGGATGATTCCTCACCGTTCACATGATCAGGGACACCCCACGAGGCGAGATCTTGTGTGGAGGCCCAGACCGAGGGAGGTTGGCGGTGGTGTGGTGCTTCTTCCATTTCCTGATAACTGCACCGACAGTTGATCTTTTCTCTCCAAGTTGCTTTCCGATTCTCTTGTAGCCCATCCCAGCCTTGTGCAGATCAACAATGTTGTCCCTGATGTCCGTAGAAAGCTCTTTGGTCTTGCTCATGGTGGTGATGTTGGATGCTGGTTGTTTGGGTGTTGACAGGTGTCTTTTATACAGGTAACAAGGTGAGGCAGGTGTATTTGATGTAGATAATTGGTTGGGATTGGGGCTGTGTCTTAAAGAAAGACTAACTGGCTTGTAGGAGCCAGAATACTTGCTGTTTTGTAGGGGGTCATATACTTGTTTTTCCTCATCAGATGGTTATCAATTTTTATAAATTCATATGATGTGATTTTCTGGAATTTTCTTTGGGATTCTGTCTTTCACTGTTAGAATGTACATATGATTAAAATTGTAGATTGTTGCATTCTTTGTAAGTGGGCAAACCTGCAAAATCAGCAAGGGGTCAAATACTTATTTCCCCCACTGTACAATCCATTAAAGACATTTGTATTCTTGTCCAACAGCAGTAAGTCGGTAAAGGACAATGGCTTCTGACAACAAAAAAGGAGGTAATAGTGATAAACGAAAATAATATGTTAAAATAAATGTTAAAGTTGTGATTTAAGCAGTGTAATTAATCTCTCTATTTGTATTGCCTGTAATTTAATTTGCTTATGTTATTTTTAAAACAGAGGATTTGCAAAATTTTTTGCAAAAACACAAAACCAACATGGAGAAGAAAGCTAAATGTATTTCTGAGGGCAACAGGAAAACTACAGCAGATCTCAAAGCGATTTACACAGAACTGTTCATCACAGAGGGAGATATGGAAAAGGTCAATCAGGAACATGAGGTTCTGAAGATTGATGATGCTTTCAAGAAAAAACAAACACAGGACAAACCAATCAAATGCAATGATATTTTTACTGAATTGAAGAAAACTGATGAGAAAAAGATTGTGCTGACAAAGGGCGTCGCTGGCATTGGAAAAACTGTCTCTGTGCAGAAGTTCATCCTGGACTGGGCTGAAGGAAAAGCCAATCAGAATATAGACTGTGTGTTCCTGCTCCCATTCAGAGAGATTAATTTGATGAAAGATGAAGAGTTTAGTCTCCATAAGCTTCTGCTGGAATTTTATTCTGAACTGAAGGACCTGGAGAAATCAGAGTTATATAAGGGATGCGAGCTAGCATTTATATTTGATGGACTTGACGAGAGTCGGTTGCCTTTGGATTTTAAAAATAATAGATCATTAAACACCGTTGAGAAAGAGTCATCTGTAGACGTGCTGTTTACAAGTCTGGTCAAAGGGACTCTGCTTCCATCAGCTCTCGTCTGGGTGACCTCACGACCAGCAGCAGCCAATCAGATCCCTCCTGAGCATGTGGGTTTGTTCACAGAGGTGAGAGGATTCACTGACCCGCAGAAGGAGGAATACTTCAGAAAGAGATTCCCAGATGAGACTGTGTCCTCCAGAATCATCTCACACATTAAGACATCTCGTACTCTCTACATCATGTGCCACATTCCCGTCTTCTGCTTGATCACGGCCAAAGTCCTTCACAATATTCTCATCAAGAACAATACAGAGAACATCAGCACAACACTCACTGAAATGTACATTCACTTCCTGCTGATACAGATGAACATGAAGAGCCAGAAGTACGATAGAAAAACAGAGAGAGAACATACAAAGCTCTTACAGTCAAACAGAAACATTATATTAAAGTTGGCCAAGCTAGCGTTTGAACAGCTGAAGAAGGAAAACGTTGTGTTCTATGAGGAAGATCTGGAAGAATGTGGTATTGATGTGAGTAAAGACTCTGAGTTCACAGGAATGATCGCTGAGATCTTTAAGAAGGAAGACGGACTTCGTGAGTCAAAGATCTTCTGCTTTACACATCTGAGTGTCCAAGAGTTTCTTGCTGCAGTGCATGTGTTCCTCTGTTACCTGAACAAGAACATGCAGGAGCTTCAATTCTTCTTTCATGAGCCCAATGAGGATATCACATTACATGAGCTACTGCAAGAGGCTGTTCGTAAAGCCATGAAGAGTAAGAGAGGACATCTGGACCTCTTCCTGCGGTTTCTGATGGGCATTTCACTGGAATCCAGTCAGAAACTGCTCAAAGGCCTGATCACAGACACTGAAGACAAGACAGACACTGAAGACACCACAGAGAGCATCAGACAAACAACTGAATACATTAAACAAAGACTACACGAGGACAAAGCTTTAGTCTTCCTAGAACGGTACATCTCAGAGGAAGCTTCAGTCAACCTATTTTACTGCTTACTTGAGCTGAAAGATAATTCATTATATGAGGAAATCCAGAGATTCCTCAGTCCAGATGAAGATCCAGGAAGAGAACTCTCCTTTTCAATGTGCACAGTGCTGGTCTACACACTGCTGACGTCAGAGAAGGTGCTGGACGAGTTCAAACCAAAGTTCACTTCATCATGGTACTACGAGAGACTCATTCCAGCTGTGAGATGCTGCAGAAAAGCCCTGTGAGTAATTACACAATTTCACAACAATTAAAAGATAAAATACAGTTCAGTGAAATATATGGTCAAGTCAACATACTCAGGTTTTGCTTTCTCATTCGCTGATTCACTGTGTATGAAAAGGTGTCTCATAACTAGAGCATCTTGCAGACACTTTCCCCTGTGTGTCCTGTAGTGTGAATGAACCAGTGATGTTTTCTCTAAACAGACGAGGTAGACAAAGCCTCCTTAAAAAACTTCATGACAAAATAATCAACAGAAAAAAAATCAGGGTTCACACAATTTTGTAATGTAGATGTTCAGTCATTAATATTTAAATAATACCTGCATATCCTCTAGAAAGTTTTATAGTTATTCTCATATAGTTTAAATCATTTTCATTTTTTTGAACTGTTTGTTTCAATTAACAGGTTTAAAATCACTGAAATAAGGTCATAAAACTCACATAAACATTTGTTCACTGGACTTTTGAGTCCTCAATTTTGTAGACTTTTTGTTACAAAATGATGTGGAAACTGTCCTGCCCACTCTTTCATCACATAAAAAATATAGATTTAACTTCTGTGAGTTTTTGTCTTAGAAAGGCCTCATGGGTCTGTGTATTTTGTTGTCTATCTTTTCCTGTTTTGAAATATGGAAGATGATTTAACACTGATGAATGCAGAAGATAAAAGCTAATTTTCCTTATACAGGATTATTAACCCTAACCTTAATCCTAATGAAAGATAACGATGCTTGGAAAGTGATATTTTCAGATAACGTCGTCCTCTGGCGTTCCACATAAAGGAAGACGAGTGGCACAAAAGAATCATCTCGGAGATCTCGATTTATATATATATAGATATAGCCTCGTCTTAAATTTGCTTAGCACCAGCGCAGCCCCGCCTTAGCATTTCATAATGATTTTTCAGTTGTTTTTTTTTTTAAACTGTCACTTTCATAAAAATAATAAATAATTAAAAACCTTAAAAAAACATGTAGTCTCTGAATAAATAATAGTTTTAATGGTGAGGGCTTAGTTAGGCTGAGATTGAGGAGGCTTTACGCCGGTTTCACACTGCGCACGTCAGCAGTGTGTATGGTGAGCGGGAGCAGCACACACACGTTTTGCTTTCACACTGTCAGCGTTTGTCGCGCGAGATAGACTCGACCCTCCCTTCGCCACCAAAGCATTTTACTATGACCCTCCAAAATGATTGTGAAAAAGGCATGACAGATCATGTATTGATTACTTCTGTACTGGTCTGTGCTTGGCAAAGATGTTCAGATATCTCTATGTCTAGTAGACCTACACCAACTGTGATGCAATTTGGGAAGAGCGCCCCCCGACAAATCTAGTGAGAATCACAACGTTTTTTTCTCTCTCATCAAAACTGAATATGTTCATCAGTGGTTAGTCTATATCAAGCAGGGACACGTTTGTGTGCATTATATTTTGTGATTTCACCGTAATGATTACAGAGTCTCCGCAACTGCGATAGATTGAAGAGCGCGTCTGACTGAAGACTACGCGCGCGCCGCCACGAGAGACACTATGTATCCATGACACTGATGCACAAAAATGCACACTATGCAAGATTTGTACCTTAATATAAAAGCTTCAAATGGGTATCAGGCTGTGAGTGCAGAAACGCTCTGCGTGAGACAGTGACATTAAATACAAGTACTCCACGGTGAGTCTAGGGGTCGCTTTTTGACAAAAACTGAATTCCTGCATAGTGTGCTTTTAAGTCCCAAAACTGTAAAACTCGACACACATTCACATCACATGTTAATACAGCGTTAGAATTACACTCACAGGACACGTATTCGCAATCAGAAAAGTTCATTATTTGCTCATGCTTTAAATCTTTGCTGGGTAAACATTTTATTGGCATTCTGTTCTGACATGATGCACTTTTTCTAAATGCGTACTGATGCGTCTGATTTTTGTTGGGCCAGACCCACCTGATAGCAATGGGGGACCGAGACCGAGAGAGCTACATGGGAAAATATGCACCAAACAAGCCCCTTTGAAATGTTTTCAGGAATACAAAAGTTGGGTGACCCTCTATGGAAGTAAAATAATGCCAAATGTTTTTGAAACAAAAAGCATGTTGAATTTCAGCCCATAAAAATGCAAGCCTTAAAAATTACAATGGATTAAATGCAAGCATGGTTAACGCAATGCATATTTTTTCAGTTGGTGCAATTCAACATGCTTTTTGTTTCAAAAAAATTTGACATTATTTTACTTCCATAACCCTCCCCCTAGACTAAAAAAGTTGGATGATCCTCCCTTCAACAAAGAATAAAAAGACATGACCCTACCCTGTTTTTCCTGTGATGGTCCTTTCCATAAATATCAAACCGTCCCTTAGTTTGTTCAGGTGTATTTGATAAGGGTTTGAGCTAAACTCGGCCAGAAAGTGGATCTCAAAGGCCTGAGCTGAGAACCCCTGTTATAAACTCTACATGAAAAACACATTAATATTACTGTTTGTTTTGTTCTCCACACAGGTTACATAGCTGTAAACTCACCGTTCAATCTTGTCGGAGTTTGTCTTCAGTTCTTCAATCCTCAAGTGTCCTGAGAGAGCTGGACCTGAGTAACAATGACCTGCGGGATTCAGGAGTGAAGCTGCTTTCTGATGGACTGAAGAGCCCAAACTGTCGGCTACAGATACTGAGGTCTGAACTCAAATACTTGCAATTGATTTTATCTTGCATTAATTATGTAAAAATCACTCTGCTAAGATTTATTCTGTATGCAATTATATTGTGCTTTTCTTGTTCAGATGTGCCATGTGTAATTTCACTGCTCAGTCTTGTGAGAGTTTATCTTCAGTTCTTCAATCCTCAAACATCCTGAGAGAGCTGGACCTGAGTAACAATGACCTGCGGGATTCAGGAGTGAAGCTGCTTTCTGATGGACTGAAGAGTTCAAACTGTCTGCTACAGATACTGAGGTCTGAACTCAAATACTTGCATTTGATTTTATCTTGTATTAATTATGTAAAAATCACTCTGCTAAGATGTATTCTGTATCCAATTACATTTTACTTTTCTTGTTCAGATGTGCCATGTGTTATTTCACTGCTCAGTCTTGTGAGAGTTTAACTTCAGTTACAACAGAGGATATTTGTTACATTTATATAACACTTTTCTGGGTACTGTCTATGAAGTAATATCTAATAGACCAATACTACTTTTGTGTCATCGAAGGGTAACACCCCTTTTTGGGGGAAGACAAACAGATTCCTCTGAGAACAGAACTCGCTCTAGATCTGCAAAGTTTCTTGTTAACAAAAATGGCACAGACATACACACTCTCTTTGCCGGCAGAGGACCGTGAGCGGTATTTAAAGAAACTACTGGATACAGGGTTACAGAGGTGTACCTTTGAAATAGTTGAAAACTGGATTAATGACCCCACGCAGTGGCCAAATATGGACTATTCAGACATCTCCCACTATCTCGTGGAATCACCAAGTAAGTAGCCTATTTTTTTGTCATTAACACACTCACAGTATGACAAACTAGACGATGAGGCCATGTCACTTGGACCATATTTAACTTGATTCAAGCTATTGTCATAGTTTTGTCATAGCTCAGTGCCGTACAATGTAAACCTTTTTACAATTTTCAAAGTCCTATCACTCAAGCAGCAACCAGCCAGAAACCAGCATACAATGTCACTCGAGTCTCCTTCACTGATTAGTCTGGTATACTAATATGATTATTGAGTTGGCAGTTTTTGGCCAAGTATATGTATAACTTTGAACGGCGCAACACAACTCCTTGTTCCTTTTAGTCTGGGTTTCTCTGTACATTAATGTGAAAATGCCCCTCACATAAATGATTCCTATAACGCATATCAGTAGATTAAGTAGCCGCCAGAAAGTTGAGTTTTACATCAACACATGTTATTTATATAATTTGAAGTATAACGTGACTTTATGAATTTAAAGTAGCCTAATAGGTGAAATAGTTGTTTGTGAAATTACTATTACGCTAGTAATATGTAAATTACTGCCATCCTAGTCCACTGCAGTATATGCATAAAGGCCAATGACAACGTGCTTTTGGTTACACGCGCAACCGAACTATGGTGAGAAAGCGAACGTTACGAAGCGCAACCCTGCATATGCATAAAGCTCTTAAGCACTCTTAAGCTTATTTGAATTATAATAAACGCAGTCTTTAGTGTGTATTAGCAAACAGAGCATGGTATTGAAAAAGCTGATATAATTAAATAACCACATAACTGTGGAATATCAGTAACGTGAAGCTTTGCTTACACTTGCTACGAGCATTGAGGCGAGCTATCCGGCCCCTCTGCAGTCCGCAGATCAGCCGTAATAATCAGAACACGCCACGTCATCGTAGACGCCAATTTCAACTCAGCCATGTAGGAAGCAACAGAGAAATACTTACCTGAATGAAGTTTAATCTTGTAGAGGAGACACATTAACAGTGGCTGCTGGAAGCACATACCAAAAATACCAAAAACGACTTGAAAGCCTTGGAAGTGAAGTTTGAACTTGAACCAGTGAGAGATTGTCTCGTGATTTGCATAGTTGTTATTTCACGTCGGTGGATCGGTGATCTGCGGGATAAATGGCACCAGTCTAAGGAGCAGAATTTCTCATGAAGGCCTTGGCTGATCAATACTCTCCGAAGACCGCTGTGCCTACGGAGAGATCGATACTGAACACGGGAACCTCGACGTGCGGCAGGAGGTAGAGCGGGACATAGTCGGATGTCGATAAATGTAAACAATATGCGTATCCTGGACATGTTGGCTGGCGACTGAACGAGAGCATAAGTGAAGCGTCAGCATCTGCGAACTCAGACAAGTGTAAGTAAGGGTCTTTTATACTTCACGTATTAGAACGCGATTGGGTAGATGAGAAGGTAATAATGACGTGACAATTGAGTCTTCCTGGCAGAACTTGCGCTACGCTTTCATTTATGATACTGCATACTTATGAATAATAAGTGTATAAATAAATAATCATCCAGAATTATAGCCACGTTAATAACGTTTGTAAGAAACCAAACCGTTTGTAAATCCGTAAAGATTTCAATGAGATAAGAGTGTTTCTTACATCAGATACCACAGAGCCCGCCAGAAAGCCTGTCTGTGACAAGATGGCCGCCAGTGATGACGATAAATACTCCGCCATGACACATCTAGCCTTTATATACATATCTATGCTCTTCACTATATTGCGGCTCGTAAAGATAGCCACGAACATCGGATTCGAGCAGCAGAACTTCAAAATCCTCTTCTTCCATACCATGTTTAGTTTCTTCCGTCATTGTCATAACTTACTATCTCCACAGCGCTTGTTAGCTTAGCTTTCAAACAAGATGGCGGATATTGATTCAGTTTCTGCAAGTGAAATCCCACCCACTGATCTGTAATAGGCCTGTAGGGTGAGTGGGTCCCACACCCTGGAATAATAATGAGCTTATGTTTGTAGTTCTACAGATTTTAATGAAATAAGATTTCCTGCTTATCGTGACGCAAAATGACGATTTTTACGTCACGATAAGCAGGAAGTAAAACACTTAAATCCTTATTTCTCCCATCTCAGGGGAAAATAAGGGAATAAACCATGACCATTCACAAATATGGCTGGGTTTCTAAAGATACAAAGCTTAATGCAAATGGGTGAAGTGACCTATTAAGATTAGCACTAGGCCTATGTGACTTTTCGACGACCACTGCTCTGGGCTACATGTAACAACACGAATGGCAGTAGATCAAGCCTTCTAGGCTAGATAGGATAGCGTAATGTCACAACATCCACATACATACATTGACAGCCCCATACATAACTTACATAGGTACCATACATATTTTGCCGTACATTGTAAACTTTTTTACAACTTTCAAATTCCAAGCAATTTCTAGACTCAAGCAGAAACCAGCTAAGTCCACTTTAGTCCTAGCCTGCCACTATTTCAACAGTAAATTTTCAGTTAACAGCCAAGGTAGCGTGCCTAGTGAGAGCTAATCACGTAACGTTAGCTGCTAGCAGCTTCGTCTTTCTAACTAGTATAGCTAGTCGACAAAAAAACGATGTCAATAGCTTAAATCAAGTTAAATATGATCCAAGTGACATGGCATCATTGTCTAGTTTGTCATACTGTGAGTGTGTTAATGACAAAAAAATAGGCTACTTACTTGGTGATTCCACGAGATAGTGGGAGATGTCTAAATAGTCCATATTTGGCCACTGCATGGGGTCATTAATCCAGTTTTCGACTGTTTTAAAGGGACACCTCTGTAACCCCGTATCCAGTAGCTTCTTTAAATACCGCTCACGGTCCTTGGCCGGCAAAGAGAGTGTGTATGTTTGTGCCGTTTTTGCTATCAAGAAACTTTGCAGATCTAGAGTGAGTTCTGTTCTCAGGGGAATCTGTTTGGCGTTACCCTTCGATGACGCAAAAGCAGCGTTGGTCTATTAGTGAGATAATTAGATATAGTCATATAGCTGTGGTGAGCAAACTGATAAGAGAATGTGCAAACTGGTCGAACGCAACCCTTTCACAGACATCAGTGGAAAGTTTGTTGTTCGGTCGGATATATAAATGGCAAAGAAAGTAAAACGAAGCACGTATTTACTAACTTTAACTGAAGAGAGAGAGAGCGAGAGTGCGCACTTCTGCTGTATGCTCTTGGTTGCTGATCGTTCACTCAGCACACGTGTCATTTGGATTAAAACTAAATCATATCTGTAAGTAAAACATGAACACGGAGCATGTGCCCTGAAAGTGCCACTCACAGGGTCTCATTCATGAAACACGAGCATAACAAATTTTTGTGTAAATCGTGTGTAAAGTGGTTCTGGCGTAAATTTTCGGATTCATTAAAATGTTCGTATTTTCCAAACGTTAGTTGGTACGAAAGAAATCTACACCTGCTCCCAGCCACGCGTAAATGGTGCGCTTAACATCCGAACTTTTTGCTCATTACTAAAGGCTGCATTTTAATTCACCTTAATCAGGTACATATTCACACAGCATTTTGAAAAAATATTATGTTTAGTAATTACATACGTTTTTTCTTTTTACTTGTATTATGGGAGCCAGCATCTGTGATGGTGGAGCTCCTCCAGTTTGAATAAGATTTTTCCCAAGTGAACTAATTCGTTTTTTGCTGTCAAGCTTAATGTCGAACCATTTTCTTTTCACTTCTGGGACTGTTCGATTAACAGATGAAACTCAATTAACTGCAACTGTAATATGCTGCCAAGCTTCCTTTTTTATATGACCTGATACGCCACTATGTATGCTTTAAAATAAAATGTGCCGTTTTGAATGAACTTCTGATAATATAACTTAAATTTCTGCATCTGAGAAATGTTTCTTTTTCATTTGCATTCATGTCATAATATGATGCCCATATATAGTTGCCAGTTGGATTTAATGGGCGGGATTTATGGTAATTGAGAATGAACGTGCACGTGCGTCCCATTTACGACTCATTGGAATTCATTAACACACACACACATTTCACTATCACATTTGACGTTTACGAAGTATTTGTGAATCAGGAGAAGAGTTTTCAGGAAGGTCTCTTTACGCGCAAATCACTCACATATTTACTCGTATATTTACGAATGTTTCATGAATGAGACCCACAGTGTGTGAATTGAATTGAATTCTCTTTCATGTCTTGTGCTTTAACAGACAAATTCACGTAAAATTATGTAAAACATGCATCTTGGTGAGTATCCTGGTAAACATAGTTGGTTATATTTTTAATATGCGTCATCAAAGTAAACGCACGTACAGTACAACAGGCTCTATTGGATGTGCATTCGGTCAGCAGCAGCCTAATAAAAGCCTAATGTTTCTGACTGTTAATCAAACTACAAACACAGTCATCACTCCCTGCTATTGACTGAATTACTTTAGTAACGTTATAAAAGATTCATCTATATTGAATTTATAC